TCCACTACAACATTGACCACCTGTAGAACATAGTGCTGATAATGGTAAGCACTGGTTAATAGTTGACGATGACACTTGTCCTAAAGCGTAAATACTTAGTTAAAGATCGTGCGCTGACTAGCATAGTGGGGCATGAATAAGCATAGGGAAAAGAGTTGTTATTTTGTAATGCTTATCAACACATGTTTCTTGTTTCTCGTGTTTAACTGAAACAGTGGGTACCCAAGATAGTAGAGTGTAGAATATAACATAAAAACCTTCGATCTCTTTCGATCGATGCTTACTCTGCAAGCTTGACAGAGCTACGTCTATCGAGTTAGTCAAATGTCTGCGAATTTAGAAACATCAATTCACAGAAATTCTGGGCAAAACCTGTTCGTAATGCCCGGATAGAACAACTGCTGGTCCATCATGTCGGGCCAGTACCATTAGTGGAACTAATTTAGTTTAAACATCAGTTTAATCTAATTTAGCTAGCTTGTGATTTGAATGTACTAGAAGAGATTTAGTTACCCGAACTAGTAATACTGTAGTGCAGGGTGTCTCTTGATGTCGACGCGAAATTTCCAGAGTTTCTATCAAACCTGACGATTTCCAACGTTGAATTCGAAACTTCTTGGTCGTAGCGCAGAAAAGAAATGTTATCGAAAGTTTTCTCTTTGCCTTCGCTTTGTAACTTCGAAAGTAGGAAATTTACTTATTTGAACTGGTAACACAGTAGCACGAAACGACTACTATATTTAAAGTTCATTCCTCATAAAGCGTTTCCTCATAAACGTTTGTTTTCATCAACATACCTGCTTGTGGAACAGTTGTAGTAGACACTTCAGCAACAACTAACCAAAATCAATATAAAGAATAAGTCGTAGAGAAAAAGTATTGTAGCAATACTCGTACCTGTTGTCGTTGTTGTGGCAGCCGCAAGAGTGGACGTAGTGATCGTTGTAGAACCTGAAAAAATTAGTAATCAACCCGATGCTTCACAGAACTATGTCCACCAGGTTGATCAAATCTTTTCGAAGCAACAAAGACCACTCCACAGAAGAATGTCTGGGCAAAACCGGTTAGTAACCAGACATTCAGTACCGGGTAGAAGAACTGTTCGTTTAACAGATCTTAACATATTCCTTGTCATGATTTCTCACTTACATGTTCATAACTAAGCAAGAATGTTATAGGGAAACATCAGCGCTTCGACACATTGTTGCCTTTCTGAGCGACTTCAGTTCGCATCAGAGTATAGTAGAGCAAATTTAGATACCTGAAATGGTCGCAGTTGATTGTGATCCGACAAAATAACAACATATTCACGTCTGAATTCATTTTGTTTCATGCAAAACTGTTGTCAGCATTACATTCAGTTCTCTGCGAACTAGGCAACCTATCTCATTCCATAGGAGATGAAACTCAGATGAAGAGAACGTCGATTGAAATGTTTTTCTGACAACGGCACGGTGCCATCGCGAACCTGTTCGTGTATGTATGGTGCGGTGTTACCATCACATCAAGGATCTTGCTGTTCACTGCCGCATTATAGTATTTGCACAGGTATGTTTGAAAGTCATTTTCGGATCTGACTGTTTAGAATCCGTGTAGAACGCAATCCTGTTCAAAAAAAGGTTCTAGTTCGGACCTAGACTTGCGCGTAGCTGAAGGGTACCCCCCTGGTGGAAGGAATGCCCTTAAGTAAAATCTTTCACGAAATCAAAAATATGTAACGAATAACGCGTTAGAATAAGCATTTTTACATTTGGTTTTGTTTGCCGTAGCGCAGGGAGTCGAAAGTAGCCAAAGTGTCAAATTTCTTTTTTGGTACAAGACTTTGACCGATCTTGACTACTGATTTAAAAATGGCACCACTAACACAACATTGTTCTTCATCTACAACTAAGAGTTCTTTTTGTAGTAGAAGATTAGCAGTATCTCGATTTAGGGCCGTTCCTGTTGTTAAAGACAAGAACTGTAGAATACAAAGTCATTTTCGGATCTGACTGTTTAGAATCAGAGTAGAACGCAACTCTGTTGAAAAAAGTCTCAGTTCGCACCTAGATTTGCGCACTGCTTAAGTACAATCTTTAACGAAATCGAAAATATGTAACGCTTAAGTCGCTGCTATAAAATAAAGATTCTCAAATCAGGTTTCTGAGATACCTTGAGTGCTTGTAGCTTGACAAGTTTTTGGACAACTCTGCTCCTCGTCTTGATTACATGCTTGCTCGCATGTTCCACTACAACATTGACCACCTGTAGAACATGGTGCTGATAATGGTAAGCACTGGTTAATAGTTGACGATGACACTTGTCCTAAAGCGTAAATACTTAGTTAAAGATCGTGCGCTGAATAGCATAGTGGAACATGAATAAGAATAAACGTTCATATGAAAAAGCAATTCCCTTAGGGTCGATCAGACGGATTTGTCGATCGGTTAATACTACTGCTAGGTCTGATTTGACGACCCAAGGGCGTGAAGTTTACTTCATCAAGGAAAAGAGTTGTTACTTCGTAATGCTTAGGCTGGAGTATAATGCAATTCTGTTGAAAAAAGTCCTAATTCGCATCTAGACTTGCGTATAGCTTAAGTAAAATCTTTGACGAAATCAAATATATTTAATGACTAACCCGTTAAAATAAGCATTCTGAACGTTACTGAATGAGACGTTTTATGTTTGTACACCGTAGCGTCCTGAGTCGCACGTAGGCAAACTGTTAAGTTTCGTTTTGGCACAGCATTTAACCAGCTTTGACCACGGATTAAAAAGTAGCATTACTAACACAAGATTGTGCTTCATGTTCAAGTAGGGAAATCTTGATTTCTCCAGAACGAAGTGCTGCTGTAGAGCATATTCCAGAAAGTAGACTATTCGCATGTGTATGTTTTAGGGAAACAGCAGCGTGTCGACACATTGTTGCCTTTTTGGCGATCTTCAGTTCGCATTTTAATATAGTCGAGCAAATTTAGTTACCTGAACTGGTCGGAGTTGACTGTGAGAAAGAGTGAGATTCTAAAGGACAGATAATAATGTTAATGGCTTTTACTTATAAACTGAGTCAGCTACATTACATTTTGTTAGATCCACTGAACAGACAGCACTGAACTGTAGTCATAAGAAACTACTATAGGTTTCAAAAAAGAATGCTTCTGACTATTTTTCGAATACCTTTTGATAGAAAGTAGGTAAAGAGATGCAGTTTCCGCTGTTCGAGAGCGAACACCTTAAGACATCTTGAGAAATAAAAATCGGACCAGGTCTACCACCTACAGGTGTTAAGCCATTCACACCTTTGAAAGACAGGGTTGGAAAAGAACGAAAACAAAAGATTTTTTTCCCATTCTTTCATAGATCCGAACCAGTAGACCGGCCTCTACAACACCCCAGAGAGCTCCTTTTTTTGTGTTCTCTCGTTCCCGATAGGGAGCGATTCTCCGAGGACAACCCTAACTCACCCTTTTTTCACTTATAATAACCAAATGAACACTTCACAAATAGCTTTCGACTATGCTGATTCTCGTGGCGGTGTTTGCTTTTCGAAAAAAGTTGAAAAACCTAGTGAAACCGTATACTAGGTGGAATAACCCATTTCTGCCTATTTTCATGTAAAATTAGAAAATTCAGAACGCAGCCAGAATTGATTCAAACTATATATTAACAGAATATTAAGATATACTCTATTTTATTTGCCCAAAGAGATTCTAAACTTAACATTTTTATCTCGATCAAATAATTAGTATACCTAGTATACGGTTTCACTAGGTTTTTCAACTTTTTTCGAAAAGCAAACACCCCACGAGAATCAGCATAGTCGAAAGCTAATTTGTGAAGTGTTCATTTGGTTATTATAAGTGAAAAAAGGGTGAGTTAGGGTTCTCCTCGGAGAATCGCTGTCCGATTTAATGCAGTTATGGTTAAATAACTTTTCTTAATAAATAGTTTACACCACCTGAGTCAACTAATTGTGACACTTTCGGTATATCCTTTTAGTCTTGAGCATAGTCTGTCTCAGCAAAACTCGAAAGAAAGTTATTTTGTTTACTGATAAAACATCTTGGTCGTCATTGTATTGACTGGTGCGTCAAGTAAGTGCTAATTCCGGGGCTGTTTTGTTTCTGTTTTGGACAGATATAATATTTTAAAGCAATATTTAAAAGAGTAATGTCTGGGTTGTTCTTTTTTCCATGTTGTCGTTAGTAATAGAGCGATCTGTTTTCTTCTCTCTTTCTCTGCCGCAACAAATCAATTTCGTTCTATCGCTATGCGCAAAAGAATCATGTGGCGTGCTTCTGTAAATTTATCGTTATGCCACTAAAATATTTTATGTTGTGCATGCACAACATAAAATATTATCGAAAACAATATCCGATAAAATATTATTGCAATTAAATTCTGCAGCATTTAATTTCGATAATTCTGTCGTTTCAACCACGGTTTGGAAACTTCAATTTACACAGATACCGCCGCAAACCGTGCATATAGAAGATGCTGTAAATGAATAAAAGACCTATATATAAGACGCTGCAATTCAACACAAAAAAATCTTTCGTCGAAACTATTCACAGTGAGACTTTCCTCTTTCAAATGACGTTCAAAATATTATACTTATCCAGAAAGCATTGATAGGGAAAATTAGATGGATCACTACTTATTTAATCACGATAAAAATGTTAAGTTTATAAAAGTGTTCGTTCTGAGTGGTTAGAGTACGCTTTGAAACGATGAAGTAAGCCGTAATGGAGCACGCTAGAGAAATTTACGAGGGACCTTCCCAAGTGATAAATCGCTTTTCCACCGAAACCTAGTGGGATTTAGGTTATCGATGATGCTGAATCCGAATATCAGCATGAGATCTGCTGCTGAGCCTTCCAAGTGCTGGTTTTTTGGAAAATCAGTCTTTCAGAAACGCTAAAAAATAACCAAAGCCTCCCTTAACAAGGTATGACTATAGCCCGCAAATTTCTGATTAAAATGGCACATCTCTCATCTCTGCACAACCTTTCCTTTCAAAGTTATCGAATTTACAAGAAAAGCCCTAAATTAATTTCTTATTTCCGTAGCTTTGAGCTGACAGTGAATATTTAGGGCTTTTATTTTAAATTCTATAACTTTGCAAAGAAAAGTCTTGTACAGCCGGGAGACATCTCACTTTAACCAGAAATTTGTGGGCTACAATTATGACTCGCTAAGAAAGGTTTTGGTTACCTTTTAGCGTTTCTGAAAGACTGATTTTCCAAAAAACCAGCACTTAGAAGGCCCTGCAGCAAATCTCATGTTAATATTCGGATTCAGCATCATCGATAACCTAAAACCCACTAGGTTTCGGTGGAAAAGCGATTTATCACTTGCGAAAGGTCCCTCGTTAGTCGGCGCTCTATAAATAGTTATTTGATACATCATGCACGGAAAGAAATGTGGATATGTAACAACCATGTGTGAAGAGACATTCACCAGAAACAAAAATTCTTCACAGTAACCGTGCCCCGTCATAAGAATAGGAGTTAAAATCAACCAAAAACATTACGCTAGAATAAGCATTCTGAAGATTATTTGATGGACCATGTAGTCTAACTGCTTTTCA